CTCTTTCCCATATTACAATCTATATCTCACAATGTTTCATTAATTTATTCTATCAAGGGTGTCACGCTAATTCTTCAGTATTCTAATTTTCATATAAACACTGATAAAGATAGTATAAGTACTTAAACAACAACAACAACAAACAAACAAAAAAAAACCCAGCAATAACAAAACCCTTAGTTCCCTTCTGATTTTAAAAACGTGACAAAATTGAATGGTTTGGTCTCCATGGAGTTGGAGGCACTTCAACGTGATGCTTTTTACTGAAAGTGTTTCTTTGTAAATCTGCATCCAAAATGAAGAAACCCTTAAAGTAGACTTTTCATTGGACACATACCCAATTTCAGCCCTATGTTGCTGATTCTTTAAGACAATATTTTAAGCTTCCCATGTATCTTCACATGAAAGCAACCTGTGGCACACCTGCTGAGCAGTGATGATTACCCTATTTATATTATTTATTCCCATAGAAAGGAAACATCATTATGAAGCTGTAGCTAGTGTTGGGGTTGTGTAGGGTACAGAATTTTAGGTTACAGATTGGACTTTCTTGTGAATTTACAGTAACATTCACAATATGGAGGGTTCCAAACAGGACAAAAAACATGCCAGAGACCAATTTTACCCAAAAGGGTTTTAGGGGGTTAGCCTGGAACCTGATCACCTTCAAGGGTACTTGAAGGAAAATGTTTTAAGTTTATTGGAAACAGTGTCAAGTAGCAACGTTTACATTGTAGCAGCACCTTGTTTTTTCTCAGCTTATTTATAAGGCATAAACCAGGATTCCTTGAATAAGCATTAAGTAATCAAATACTAAATATAGAGTACTATTTAAGTTGAAAGAATTTTCCTTTATCAACATATATTAATTTATCAGTAGAGTTAGCACATCATTTAGGAAACTAGCCCATTTTTCCATAAATGACAATACAATTAACTTTCATATTCGTGGTGTAATTAATTAATTTATCACACATCCAAGCCAGCTACGTCCGAAAGCACGAATCTTCCCAGTCAACAACCAAAAAAAAAGAAAAATAAAAACTTGCTATAAGAATACTGACCGCCAAAGCAATCCATATGTGCAGTTGTGTATGTTCCTGTTTTAGAATACTGATAACTTCATCTCCCTCCGGTAACTGATCGAAGTCAAGTTCAATGACCTAAAACACAAAATACAGGTTTTAACTTTTACTTATTTATTTTTTAAATATGACCAAGGGGCATGTGTGCTCAGCAGAGAAAGAGACAGGGAGAAAGAACTCCTCAATGGGACATGGTCATGCCACAATCCCTTCTCCCCCATTTCTACATCTTGTCAAGATTTTGGGCCATGCACTCACCCAGCATGTTCTTCAAGCCACTGGGGCTGAGATTTGAACCATGAAGTCAGCAGGCTCCCTTTACCACTAGACTATGGGGCTGGCCTCTTTTTTTTTTTATTTTCTTAATGGAGATTTTTGCTATAGGGCACATGCGCTTGACAGAGAGATAGAGAAAGAGACAGAGAGACAGAAAGTGAGAAATCACCCCCAGGGGGGGCAGGGATGGCCACACAGCAATCCCTTTTCCTCCATTATCCTCTTGGGATCTTGGGCATGCATGCGCACGCTCCTCGTATGAGTTCTAAGCTTCCAAGTCCAGGACTTGAACCCCAGTCAACTACATGGGAGTCCAGTGATTTAATTATGATGCCATCTGTTGGTCTCTCTCATTTCTTTTTTTGAATTCACATTCCTTCTTGTTGTTTTTCATGAATATAAATAACAACATACGTCTACATAGGGTATGTATTTCCTTTCAAGAGGATTCAGCTAATACGTTTCAATGTTTGAGGAGCACATGACAAATGTTATACTATAAAACCAAAATAAAAGTATAGAGAACCAAACAAACCCCACTAGTTGCCCCAAATCACTTGAACTATTGGGTGGTCGGAAAAAGATTACCATGACTTTTCCAACAACCCAATGCTTTGCTTATGCACAAATAACAACACAAAAACCTGCTTCACATATAACCCAAATAAAGTGCAGTAAGCACCCTAGAAACTCTGATGCCATAGGTCTGACAGTTTGAGAAGCACCACCCTAGAGGCTATTGAAAAACATTCTTTAACCACAGAGGTAGCATTGTGTGAGACTCTCCTGTGCATGGACACACACACACAAAAAATACTGAAAAATGTTCTGTAATTAGAAAAGAGATAGTAATTACACAACTTTGCTAATATACTAAAAACTAACAGATTTTATAGCAAGTGAATTATATCTCAATATTGTATCTCAAACACACAAAAATAAAAGCATGAAATATCTAAGATGTCAAAACATCAAGGCTGAGAGCTTTATTTCAAGGAGCCACAGGCCACCCATGAGAGGCATCGCCAAGGGAGCGGGGTTGATGCTATCTGCATACAGCGGTGGCTCAATACCCGGCTCTCGGTCGCTGAAGCAGCCCTGTGCAGCGAACACAGTGCACCACGTTAGATTCGAGTTTCCAAGGAGAAGGGACGACTTCCTATAGACTCCCAGGGAAAAGATCGAGTTGGAGCAGCAGGCAGCCCACGGTGACACCAGCGCCCACCTCTGTCATCTGTGAGGTACTGTCGTTTATCGGGCACGCTCACACCCCTGAGCCTGTGAATTCCTTGGGAAGAGGACAATACTGTCAAATACGAACAGGTTGAAAGAGGAACTTTCAAAAACTCCTTCTCGGAGTGTCCTGGAAGCTGCCAGGACCCGGTGTTTCCAGCCTGGGAGGGCGCAGGGGCTGGGGAAGGTGACCAGAGCCTTGGCCGGAGATGTCGATCCGGACTCCCGGCGGAGACGGGTGCCCTAACTTCGGACACGAAGCCTAGCGAAGTCGGTGGAGGGGAGCGTTCAAGTTCACGGCCCCCACCCACTTCACACTCGACACCTACCTCGTCAGTGTCCCGGAGGGGAATCTCGATGGAGCCCCGCGACATGATGCGATCAGAAGGCGAGCGGATGTCTCGCCCAGCCGCTCTGCAGCCGGTAGTCCTCCCTTCTGGTTCGAGCAGAGGCTAGCGACGGCTGGGGCTCTGGTCGTGGCTGCCGCCCCGCGGCGCCGCCGGAGCCGGGTCTTCTCCTTCCCGTCAGCCGCTTAAACAACGAGCAGCGGGCTGAGAACGGCCACTTCCGGAGGCCCCGCCTCCTGCCCCGGAAGCACTCCTCGAGAGAGGGCGTGTCTGACGTGAGTTCAGCCTGTAGTTCTGCCGTTGCTCTCTTTGGGATGACAGTCCGCGGCCTTCGTTGTGTGTGGGCTGTAGGTGGCCAGAGACCATGCAGGCCCGCCGCAGCCCTGGGCTTCTGCGGCTCCACCCGGCACCGGGACTGGGAACAGAAGCTCGGCGGGCGTGGCCGTCGCCTGCGGTGGGCGGAGCCTCTGGTGACGTGGCCCTCTGTGGGATGGGCCTGGACGGTCTTGTTTTCTTCTAAAGATTGTCGTGGATAATTGAAGTCATTCATTCCGCTTCCAAATCATTAGTTCATTCTTAGGAGCCATTATGTGTAAGTCATACCAGTGGTACCTGTTTAAATGAAATGTTACGGTGGATTGTGTGGTCACTGTGATAATTCATGTATCTTTCTAATAATAGTTCTTTGAAGCATACAAGAGGACCTGCTAGATTTATGGTTTTAACAGAATTGTAAAATAATTGGATTAAACCTGTAATCAGCTTTTTGAAACCATGAAAGTCCAAATTAGTGGTTTAATAATAGAAATATAGAATTAGTGTTTGGACTAAATCAGAGAAGAACCTGTTTAAATATATTTGCAAAAATTAAGTAAATTTACCTCTCAAGTGTCTCTCAGATGCCTCCCCTTTTCTTCATCTCTACCACTGTTATTGTAGCTCAAACCACCGACACTCACTTGGATTCCTGCAATAGCCTCCCGTTTTACTCAACCCATCAACCCATCCCAAGTTCCAACCTAGCTTCAGCCATGTTACACACTTACCTTTAAAAAATACCAACTTGATATTTGTCTTTCTTCACATCTCCCTTACAACTTTTAAGTAGAAATTTTGCCAAATCTGTATTTTGACTTATTGATTCTATAACTACTTCAATATTTGGGATAGTGCTGTTCAATACAAGTGCAATGGTAGCAATATATGTAGTTAAAATTTTCTAGTAGCTATGTTTTAAAAAGTAAAAAGAAGGGCCAGCAAGTGGCATAATGGTTAAGGCACTGGACTCCCACATGGCCATCTCACCCTGGGATGCAAGTGTATGTGTGCCTAAAATTCTGAGAGGAGAATGGAGGAGAAGGGATTAAGGCATGGCCATCTCCTCCTCCCTCTAGGGGTGATTTCTTACTTATTATCTCTATCTCACTAGTGAGCACTCACACCCTATAGCAAAAATCTCTCTTTTTAAAAAAGTAAAAAGCAGATTAAATTCATTTTAGTAATATATTTTGTTACTAGATATCATCATTTCAAATGATAACATTTAAGATCATTTACATCTTTATGCTGAGTCTTAGAAATACAATATGTATTTTACATACTTGTGCTCTACTCATTGCTTAATTTTAATTGGGGATACTGAATCTGTATTTAAATTTTATAAAATTTATCATTGAAAAATAGTCAATTATTTAGTTTTCATGAAATTTAATTAAAAATAAATAAAAAATTTAACTTGTCAGCACGATTAGCCATATTTCGAGCACTCAATAGCTGTATATGGTTAGTGAATAATATATTGCACGGCACAATATTTCCAAGAAATACTGCTTAATACCTTTTAACATTTATAAAATAAGCACTAAACAAAAGTACACATAGCGGTGATTATTTTTTCTCCATGTCAGCAGCCTCTCTGATATTAAAGACCCTATTGATATGTTTGGTCTTCCATTTATTGGCAACCAAAGGCATCCTAACAATGATGCAGAGCACTATGATTGGATAATAAGGGAACTCAGGTTAAGATTGGGGTTTGGAGAAGTGACATTTAAGTTGCAACGGGCAATGAGTAATATTTGGCTAGGTGAAGGATGATAAGGAAGTGCATACCAGACAAAGAAAGAAAATAAAAAATTAGGGGAAAGGAGCTTGAGTTGAAGTTGGAAACATAAAAAGTACCCAGATCAGGCTGGGCTTTATCCATATAGAGCAAAACTAACATCTTGTCCTGTTTCCAGTATGAGTAAGTAACATCCCACAGTTAGGAAAATCAAAACTCTTTGTGTTCTGAAATCATAAAAGAACAGTGTCAAACTAACTGTTTTCTCCAGAGTGAATGAAACCTTTAGCATTTCCCATATGTTATGTCTCATTAACAAAACCAATTTAGTTATTAAAGTTTATAATGCTAAAATGTGAAGATATGAAATGATTTGCAGACATATGGTAATCATGAGAAAAGTGCTCTTTCTACCATAATGCTTTTGTCTCATATTTCCTTTGATGTAGGATATGTAAAGATTTGGAGTTTTATCTTAGGTGCAATGGGGGGGGGCAGTTTTAAGTTGTGTGTCAATGAGAGAGAAATGAGAGAGAATCGGTTTGTGGATTTGAAAGAGCGTTCTTGGCTTTTCCCTATGCTCCGTACTCAATTATGGTGCAGTGAAAAGGAATCACTTTCAACACCGTGAATATTCATTCACATTGAAAGATGATACATTTGCTACCAATCTTTCAATGACCAGAGTGCGCTGGAAAAGGAGATGCAGAAGGTGAGTTCATACAAGATGGATATAGGCGCAGTGTATGTCCACAGACCCAGTCAACACAACATAGTAAAGCTGGAAGCTTTCTGGGCTCAGGAAAAAGAACTGAGAAAGAACTTTGACATGACAAACCATGACGATGTGAGGAAATGTTGTAGTTCGGCAGACATATGTTCTAGGTGCTGGACCTTCATGACAATGACCAATATACATCATCAGCCAAACATTCAAGGAGGACTTCGGATGTAAACATAGTCTCTGAGTATATTCTGGAAGGAGAGGTCTTCGTCGTTGGGTTCGTGATAAACCAGTTAGAAAACTGTCGTATTCTGTAGGTTCTGGGATAGTTGAATATTTGAGTCTTGTAAAGGCAGTCAAGATGTTAAAAAGAAAGTTCACCTAAGTGAAAAATTTCACCCTTTTGTCAGAAAATCTATAAACATGATGTAAATATACTTTGAGGAATATGTTTCAGTTGATCAAGATATTCTTAAAAATAAAGAATGCAGGGATAAGATCTTAGCCCTTGTTCCTGAAATAAATTATGATGAACTTCAACAAAACTTCCAAGTCTTCACAGTTCACTTCAGCATTGGAAGCAGTTGAAAAAAGTACCCAGCAGATATCAGAATAACATAGAAAATGACAAATGTAGATCCTGGCTGGAGTGGCAGATCATACTCCAGTACTATTTCCTATGGCTGGATGTCAATGTTCGCAAAGGAATCAGTCATTTACTGAAGAGCCATTTTAGTGTTTATCCTGAAAAAGGTCATATCTCTGTGACTATCAGTTTACAAGAAATGGATCAGTTTAATCCATTTAGCATTCCAATCACAAGCTCCCTCCTGTCATGAGTTGGATGCCATTTCCAATAATGAAGAGGAAAAAGAGAATGATGCTGAATCTGAAATCCAACATAGAACTAGAGATTGTAAGAGGATCAGTCTAGCACGTTATATGAAAGTTGTTTTTAACATTTTCTTGAAAACGTGGATAAATCCCAAAAAGGTGTACTTCTCAAGAAGAGTGATGTACAAGATTTCTGAGGATAACAAACCCTCAAGCCAATGTGGATATGCTATACCTTCAACAAAGAATCAGAACATTCCAAGAGCCACTTCATAATATGCTTCTTAATGCTCAAAGTAAAATGTCCTTTTTTTTTTTTTAAGAGGTTTTTGCTATAGGGCGCGTGCACTTGCCAGCCAGACAGAGAGAGACAGAGAGAGACAGAAAGTGAGAAATCATCCCCCAGGGAGATGGCCACGCTGCAATCCCTTCTCCTCCATTCTCCTCTCGGGATCTTGGGCATGCACGCACACGCGCCCAGTGTGAGTTTTAAGCCACTGGGTCCAGGACGTGAACCGTAGTTGACTGCATGGGAGTCCAGCGACATAGCCATTATGCTAACTGCTGGTCCCAAAATGTCCTTTTTTTGAGAAACAGTTTATGTGGAAAAGTTTTGCTGAGATCACCAAAGAAGAGTGTTCCAGGAAGAAGCAATAGAAGTAAGAATAAATGGAGTACAGATAAGTTTGTAAAGTTTGATATTATACAAAAGTAGTTCTAAAACTTGTGAAATAAATACTCACTTCTATCAGTTGCACTATATAAAGGTAAGTGAGCAGTTGTTGTAGTAATATGCCCAAGACTTTCACCTTAGCTTACTGACCACTGCCTCCTTGATTCTGGATGAACGAGGGCTTTGTCCTTAAGTTAATGACACTTGAGTGTATAGTCAGTCACTTCCTAATTTTGCTTACTATATTTTTATTGGTCAGGCCACATCCCGTCTTTTAAAGATCATTTTAAGCTGGACATTTAGGGACTGGCAGGTGATGTGGTGGTTGAGGCATTGGACTCCCACATAGCTGACCATAGTTCAAGTCCCAACCCTGACAGCTTGCTTTCTCATTCTCCCTTTCTGTCTCTCTGTCTCTGGTCAAAATCAAAGAATAATGATAATAAATAAAATTAAAAATAAATGATTTTTTTGGAGAGTTTTTTGTTTGTGTTTTTTGTTTTGTTTTGTTTTTGTTTTTGCTATAGGGTGCATGTGCTCGCCAGAAAGAGAGAGACAGAGAGCCAGAAGGCGAGAAATCACTCCCCATGGGGGGATGGCCACGCCGCAATCCCTTCTCCTCCGTTCTCCTCTGGGGATCTTGGGCATGCACGCACACACGCCCGGTGTGAGTTTAAGCCGCCAGGTCCAGGACTCAAACTGTGGTCGACTACATGGGATTCCAGAGACATAGCCATTGTGCAAACTGCTGGTCCCAAAATAAAATAAATGAATCTTTTTAAAAAAAGAAAACTGGGCTTCTAAACCTACCAAAATGTGGGATCAGCAGATGGTGTAATGGTCACATCACTCGACTCCCATGTCGACTACAGTTTGAGTCCCGGACCTAGCTTAAAGCTCACACCAGCCCTTATTGCCAAAGTAATACTATATAAGGGGAATAAAGTAGGAGGCATCTCACTTCCCAACCTCAAAACATATTACAAAGTCGTGATAATTAAAACAGCATGGTATTGGCACAAAAACAGATCAATGGAAGAGAATTGAGATCCCCCAGATAAACCCCAAAACATACAACCAACTGATCCTTGACAAAGGGCACAAGACAATCCAGTCAGAAAAATAAAATCTCTTCAGCAAATGGTGCTGGGAGAACTAGATATCCCACCTGCAGAAGAATGAAACTAGATCCTTATCTCTCACTACTCTCTCACTACTAACAAAAGTTAACTCAAAATGGATTGAGGATCTAAACATAAACCTTCAAACTATAAGAATACTGGTGGGGGAACAAGCAGT